TGAGGAACGGTCACAAAAAACAACGCACGCCGAGGGGCGGACCTACCTCTGTGGCCGCTTTCTTTACCATCTCCAGCTGCCCCTTGTGGATCTGAATGTTCAGGAAGAAACCATTGAAGAGTTTCAGGAGCACCCAGCCCGTCAGCCTGCAGAAGGAAAAATAAAATGTTTGTACTCGCTGTTATAAATCCTTTCCTTGGAGGCCCAGTGAGGGACACAGGAAGTCACAACTGTCATTTTTTGGGCTAGTGTCCAAAGCTTCCTGTAGGCGGCAGTATAACCCAACAGTAGTGACTTCCTGTGTCCCTCAATGTGCAAGAAAGAAAAGTTTGTGTATGTCCAAATTATTTCCATGGCGTCCACGGAGGGGCACAGGAAGACAAATATATACGGTCAGGTTATACTGCCGCCTACAGTAGGATTGGGCACTGGCAAAAGGGACAGTTATGTCTTTCTGTGTCCCTCAGCGGAGGAAAAAGAAAAGCTTTATCAATGCGACATACAGTTTGTATTCTTGAGAAAGCAGCCGGAGCAGAAAAGCCTGTCCCCGTGCCAGCATGCTGCAGAGTGCGACCCTTTCTCTTTGTGTAGAAGCAGCGGTCTCTCTGTAGAGGTCCCACACACCCCCTGCTGAGTCACAGCTATAGCGCTTCAATCTGCAGGGATCATGCGGATTGGAGAGCTATAGCTAGGAGTTAGTTGGAGGCGTGTCAGACCTCTGCAGGGAGACGGCGGCTTCCTGGTAGCAAAGGGTCATTTTCTACAACAGGGGGCAGGCTTTTCTACTTCCTGTGTATACAGCAACACCCAATCCCCCAGGGGACCGAACAGAGCTCACTTTTGGAGTATCTGAGACATGTATTGCTTTAGGGATTCTTGGTTCACATATATTTCAATACGTGTTCAAGATGGCCAACTGTGTCAAAGTGACCTCTCCCTGACCAATCAACAACAACAACAACAACAACAACAACAACAACAACAACAACAACAAGCACAAAGTGCGAGGAATTCTACAAAGAGACAATTCCAGTCAAACTAAAAGCGCATCACAAGCTGGACAATGGAAACATTTGTAGTAATAAATACTCATTTCTTAGTATGAACTATGAGGGGGGGG